CGATATTATTACATATCATTTAATTATGTCAACTAGCTGGATTTGTCACTTAATCCAAAACTTTTTAATGAAAATACATATTATGTATACAACTATTATATTCAAATAATTAAAATACATATTATACGATTTTTAAACTATATATACACCAATTTTCTCAAAAAGTAATTATTTTATAATTTTTCTTTTTGAAAACCCTTATATGTATATAATTTTACGATATTATAAAATTACCAAATATTTACCTATTTTAGTATTTTCCAGAGCTCTATCAACTTTTGAAACTTAAATGGTATCGTATTTAATTAGCTTATTTTATTAAATAACAACAATTTGCTGAAAATTAAGTAAGCTGAAAGTTATTAATCAGTTTTTAGTTTTTGATAATTAAAAGTTATTAGAGTTTAAAAAAATTAATTTAGGATGGGAGGTGAAATTTGGTGATGTCTGTAGATAAAAATAATACTTCACTACACCATTCTTCTCATCCTAAGCTTAAGCTCTAATAAATTAATTATCTAAAACTGGTTAGGTTTAAAATTTTAACAAGGTAAAATTTTTAGAAAATTATTCTTAGTTTAAAAAGTTTATTAATCTTTCTCATTTAAGTTTCAAAAGTAGATAGCGCTCTAAAAAATAATAAAAAAGGTCAATATCTGATCAACTTATAATATTGTGCACAAACAGAAATAAAAATATTTAAAAAAACTAAAAAAATTGAAATTATTTTCTGAGAAAATAAGTGTCTTACGTTAAATTGATACCCTATATGCTATTATTTATATAATTGGGGGAATAAGTTTTTCAATACTTGGAACGACGATTGGTTGAACCTAGGCAAACCAGAGTTAGTTTTTTCCAGTGCACTTAAATAGAGCTGAGTAAGTAAAAACGGAGCTAAGAAACAGACAGTACACTGCAATAAAAAAATAAACTTAAATTTGTGCAAAATTATAAAGTAAAATTCAGTTTTTTCCCGTCGATAGGCGCTATTTGGATATTATATTTATTATTTGTTTTATCGACATTTCTGTATTTGCTTATTTGAAACAAATTCGACAGCTTTCCAAATGTTGTGTCATCATTCCATCGTATTTCTGTGATTGTTGTTTATCAGATGAGCACACGGCTGTAGACTTTCGTTATTTGTTCGCAATTTAAATATACAAACACGATTGTGTCGGCAACGGCGAAAAAAAAACCTTTTTCGTTTTGTTTGGTCCACGTGTACCGATGTTCGGGAGAAAGTAATACAACGAGAAGACGAGGGACACAGTATTGATCATACCCTCTGGTTATTCTGCCATTCTGAGGCTGAATAACGTTGTCGCGTCAGGTGATATTAAACAAATAAAGCTCTTTGTTAAATTGTTCGTCTCTAACAATAATTGTAAAACAATATCCACATAACATTTTAATATTGTAATAAAAATAAACGGATCATATTATATGATTATCAATAACAAAATATTAATCAGAAATACTATAGGCATAATTTTCAACTTAAGCGCATGTATGAATGACAGTATTCACTCTAGTACAATATGAAGGAATGCTATAAGAAAGCCGCCAAAGATAATCTGGATAATTTGTATAAGCTGATAAGTTTAAATAAAAACACGAATAAGCCTTATCCTTTATGGTTTTAAAGTTTTAATATTAAGGGATGAAAGTAATGGCAAATACGACGAATACGGATTTATACAAAATGTTACATTTCAATGATGAATGGAACGCAGAAACTTTGTTGGACTTTTTTATTCCTTTTGGTAGGACTAATTTCAAAATAGAGCAAAGTTTATCACAAAAATCTATTGACAAAATCTAAACTTTAAGAGACCTTACTCTCTAAGAGGATTCTATTTACCTATAATGAGTAGTCTGCTAAATCGGTTTGCGCAAATTAATAATGTAGAGACTAAATTCACCAAATGCCCATAGAAATATACAAGAGAATATTATCAATGCTCAAGCAAGGCAATTTTTTGATGAATAACATTTTTTTTTTTATCAATTGTTTAAATTTAAGTTTTTAGAGTTTTAAATTTTTCAATAAATTATTGAAAACTAGTATATTTAATCATCGGAAATGTGGAAATGTTCTCGCACAAATAAAGTTTTTATCTATTAACTGTGAAAATTTAGTGATTTTACAACAGTTTCAAGACAATTTGGTTTTGATTCGTGCAGCACTATTTTAATGGAGAAAAATTTTGTTTATAGAAATCATTATATTTTCATTTGATTTTACAAGATCAGTTCCTAGTAAAATATTTCTTCACCATTTAAGTGTAAGCAGAAAATTAATGAAACCAAAAAGATATCATCCGACATTTATCAATATTGAGGGCAATGATAAAATACTCATATCAAAACGAGACCTTGTTGAAATTGTGCGGTGGGTACACAGCTTAATATAATGATGCCTAGTAGTTATTTAAAACGCATTCATATTCATAATATAGTAATGTTTTTAATGTATAAAAAAGAGCCATACAGTCACCCGTAGTTAGGTTATTAAGTTTAGGTTCTTGGCGTAAAAGGACGCACGAATCTAATTTAAAAGACCGGAAGTTAAAACCGTATAAAATATACACATATGCTTAAAATAATAAAACGAGCAAACCTTAAAAAAAAGTCACCGTCAGATTTTATGGGGTTAAAAATTATAATTAAAATATTCATAGTTGTATCATTTTATAGTGTTTGGAACGCAAAATAATATTTTTACGGTAGAGCTACATTGTATTTGTTTTTTTTTATTAACGCCGGTGAGCTTGAGTATGAGTAACCATTATATTATTCCTACTGACGTTTCATATTATTTATATTATACTTTATAACAAACTACGCCAACCGTGCAGTAACTGAGAAGTAGTACGACATATATTACATAATAATATATTGTATAAAATATATTAAAGTCGACATTTCATGAGAATTAGGAAAACAATTTTTATAGTCTTGTATAAGTTTCACATTTTATGCATAATAATCCAATAACCCTATTAAATTAGGGGTGGGACAAGAATGATGAAATAATTAATGTGAATATGTTGTCATAACATTATAATTAGATTGAGAACAAGCGTTTATTTGCTTGGCTTCAGCGCGGTGCTGATAAGGTATAGCTATTGTGAATGTTAAAGATTTGGATTTTTAGATAAAATTCAGATTATTATTTTCCTTAAGTTTGTCTGTTGGGAAGTGATAGCAACCGTCTTGTTTGCTATTCTTATCTATTTTCTGTGGCTAAATGTATGACTTGCCACAAGACATGTGATCATCTTTAAATGAAAATATCTTAGCAACTATGCCGGAGGAGTGTTAAAGTGGAAATGCAAATTCAAGTGTCTGCCGTCATGTTTACGGCACAAGCTCAATAATTGGATTTTATATCCTTCCAGCTCCATTCTTTATGTGCGTTACGATTATAATAATATATAAAACAATAATAATAATAATAATAATAACTCAGAAAATGCGCCGTCGCGTCGTGCCGGGCTGTATTATTATTATTTTTTTTTTTTAACTACATAAAATATTCATGGAACAGTAATGACAAGGGTCCGCGGTCCAGTGATGAATGATGGGCATGGATTATATTCTGCCGACGTGAATAATATGCTATGCTTTGCTTTCTATAATAATTTTTGTGTTTATAATATTATTATATACGGATATTCCGTTATTTATTAGAAATTTGTTTGTTGTTGCAATGTGAACGTGAACACGATCTAATACAGAACAATAAAAATAACAAAGTAACATAAAAATGGGTTTGCGTCGATATTATGTTGTTTTTTTTTTTGTTCCATTTATGCATTTAAGGGTTTAATATGAAATTGCTTTTATATAAACCTTTTTCTTTTTTATACAACCTTATCTTTTGCGTACCTTTAAAAAATTCTAATGACTCCAAATAGGTACAAATAAAAACACTTATTTTCTGCGTGGTATTTATAAAAGTATTCGAAAATTACTAGAAAAATATTAACTAAAATATACACAAAAAGTTCATTGCGTGAAATATTACACTTGTGTGATATTAATCTTACGGTTTAGATTAAAATAAACTTTGTTACACTTATACATATAATAAAACATTTAGATGAATGTATCAGTAATAATAATTTTGAAAATGACATACTATTATATATAGATACTTACCAAATAAAAAAATTCCACAATGCTTTTAATATTCTGATTCTTTAGAAAACTTGCTTTAAATTTTAACGTTACGCATTATACAACATGTCAGTATTACATTGTCAAGCAATGCTTGTCAGTGGCCCGACGCTTATATTAGCTGATATTTTGACAGTACACGTTATTACTGACAGTAAAAATTGACAAACATCCAGATTTATAAAAAAAATATTAATATATATAATATAAACACATTACATACACATCTATGTTCTGTAAACGTTGCGTTGTCTCAGAAAACATTCCGGTAATGGTTGGTAATTTATCTTGTTCTTTTTATGATATTTCACCGCTACATAATGCTTTTTAGCCGGATTTTAACGTTGTATACTATAATGTGTATATATATAACAGAAAAGATGATAGGGATGCTCAACGACATAGACTATTTTAAATGGCAGGCAATGATACGTGTCTGTCGAAGCATTTTCCCCGCTGATTTATGTATACCAAATGCAACGTTATATACCAGATAACTTCTACTATATATTAATACGGGGGTAGGGATACGCTGTGCTGCATTCAAAGCTCGTGCATTTCAATAACGGTCTAAATATCCGAAAAGCCGAAAGTGAGCAGTATCAATAGTGCTTACAGTACAAAAATAAACATTTATATTTAGGTTGAAATGTTATGGTATATTGTTCAAGTTCGTATTAAAATGTGTTGACAATAATACTAGATATTGGTGAATGAACTTCCGACGTGTTTGGTGTGTATATAATGTGTATGGTGTGTATGTGTATATGTGTGTGTGAGAGTACATTTTTTTTTAACTGTTCGTTCTGTACCGTTCTGATGATTGGAACTGTATCTGAGTTTGCTGCTTCTGTCAATGCTCGCCTGAGTCGGGCCCGACGTGCCTGTGTTCCCTGAGCCGCCAATGTCTGAGCCGATAGCAGGATTCCCGCCTGGATCCCATAATATAGAATAATTTATCGTATCAATTAAACTCATCAAACATTTGGTTTTTTATATAAATAAAATATAATATACCAAAAACGCATAAAAACCGGTAGTGCCGCTTAAGCGACGAAATATTGAGACACACGCTTGTGCGGTTTCTTGAAATTTGTATACTATCTTTATAAAATATATTTTTATACACTTAACGATATACCGATAATCGTCACGTTAAGGTAATTTATAAATATAATTGTTTTTATATGATTAATTTCATGGGCTTTTTGTTTGTTACTCGTAGTTTCTGGATAAACTTAATAACTATTAAATTTGTTCTCTGTTACCAAAGACAAATTGAGGTGTAAATTAGTTCTTTCTAAAATTAATTTGTGTTCATAATTAAGTTGGTAATAGATTTTTAGTAAGTTATGTTAATTAGAAAGTTGATCTAATTACCCTTTATTACTTTAATTACTACTGGAGTACTTGAAAATATTTTCATAACGACACATTGAAACTCATTATTATTCACCGCCGCTTTTATCTTATATAGTAATTGGGTTAAGGCTTAATTAAATCATACCGTTATGAAGTTCTGAACGAAGGATATAATAATTATTCATAATCCTTTGAGAGTAACATGTCAGGGAAACAACAGGAGAAGATTCCTTAATATGAGCTATTGCGTATTATGACGCTTAGAATTCTTAGCGTCCAATACTACCAATTAGATGTTGACCAAATACCTACTACCACAATTTTATAAAATAAGCAAAACTAGTTTTTTTTATAATTTCCAATTACTATTTGTTTTTAAGTAAAACTGTTTTTAGCTTTAATACATTTGATGAGAAGGTATAAGTTTTACAGTGATGTGTATTTTTTTTTGTGTGTCTAAATTCGCGATAACTTTTTTTCCTGTGGACAGATTTACTTGAGTAGCAACTTTATAGATCGGCAATCAAAAATGCGATTGGTATTTTGGTAGATTAGAATAGAAAAGTTCACTCTTCCCTTTCAAAATGGAGAAAAACACCTAAAAAATGTACATATTTTTCTATTAAAAGTTACGCATATCTATTCATTTTTTGTTTTAAATAGTCGAATTAGTTCCAAGTTTGTATGAAATATTCGTGAGACATATGTAGTACCACCGAAAATCCTTAACAAACCAAACAAATATAGTAAACCTTTTTTCCTAGAAGGGGTGAAATGTTTTTCTTTATTTAGCCTTTTCTGGTGAAGATTTAGGGATTAAGGTCTGAAAATTAGTTCAAAGGTAGAACGGGGCTTTAAAATAACCAATTTAGCACGGTATGTTATTACATTGTTTTTATCTATATTTTAAATTCTACCATTACAAATTAGCATCGACGAATAATTTTAAAGTGATTTTTATCATTGTCAGTTGTAATACTTCATATATGCTCAATTCCCTGTAATGGCTTTTAAAAAATATAAAACAGTTATAGTTTTATAAAGAATTTCGATTGAGAAACATTTAGAAAAACTCATTTAATACAATTCTAAGTATCGTTAAAGTTGTATAACATAATTTTTATAAAATCATAACTATACTTATTAGATGTTATGTTGTTTCATTATTTCATAAACATAATATTATTTTGTTTATATTATAAAATCTCCCAAGTATTTAAAACAGATTAATTGCTTATATTCATTAATTAATACTAAACGATCTTGGTTTTATTATAATATATCATGTAAGATGTCATGAACACGTTTAAAAGAATAAAATTTAAGAAAATAAATTTGATATAATCATTTGGAAATATTAAATTTTCTATACTATTTCGCATAAAATTATAGTTTGCAGTTATAATAAGGTCAAACGGAACTAGATACCTCTAATTTTCCCTTAACATTTCCTTTTGTTTGTAACGTTTTACTATCAAATGTATTTTCTAAAACCAATTCACTTATTATTCTTATTTGCACACTTTTACTTTTTATATTTTTTTTAAGAATTTTCTGGAAATTTCTTTTATATCTAGATTTTAGCTTATTACTTTCTGTTAAGCTGACAATACGAAATATACTATTAATGTCTTTATTCTCTAAAAACACAGGGACAATGAAAGATCCCGCTGAATTCCGGCGATAATCTGGAACTATAGGTGTAATTAAGTCACTGAGTCAGGGGTTGCTACAGTCCTATCTGTTTTTTATTGAATAGTAACCTGTTCAATCGTGTTATAACGATAGGCAGTAGACAATCTTACAACTAGGAACCGCTGATCACTTAAAGTTATTAAAAAAAAAAACATAGTAATTTATTATAAAAAAAGTTATAGTCTACTTAAAGCCTAACGGCTAAAATGATAAAAAAAAGTTTTTCAGCCCAGTCTGCAACCACGAAAGAGCATTTTCATGTCTCGTTGAAGTACCGAATAAATTTAGAGTAGTTAAATCAAAATAGAACACTATTTTGATAACGCTTTTGTAACGAACGCTTTTTTCGGTTATGTGCCAGAGCAAAGACATGAAAAAAACATGCTTTAGCTTGCTGATTTCTGAAAAGTGATTATTTCTGATCTTTAATCTCCTTGCGATTTATGGTAATAGTATAGTATTAAAAATATTTTCTGGCTAAATAAACAATAATCTTGTTGCTTTGTTATTGCGCTACTTTAGTATTTCAATTTAGTGTCGCTACTTAGTGAAGTTTTTGGGCTGGGGGACAAGGATAAAGCATATTCCATGATAAAATAAATTTTTGTAGTGTAGCCTTCGAGCCTTGGGTGAGGGGCTTCCCCCTCCCCCTCCACAATATTTTCCTATATATTAGCAGTCAAAGAGAGTCTATACAATTCCGAATGTCTGAATTCTGAGTATATATGGTTAGGATACCATATTAATCATAAATGGAATGTTGTTTTATAAATGTTGGTACACAATTTGATGTTTAAATATTAATCACTTGTATGTTATCTTAGGTTTAATTCAAAGGAAAATATTACAATCTGTTCTAATTATAATCTAAAAAGTTACTTCTAGATGGTTTGCTTTAACAAATTACGAACTGCTCCTCAAAATGTTTATACGAGTAAACTACGTTAATTTATTTATAATTACCTTAAGTATACAAGGCATTCCTTAAACAAATAAAACAACTGATTTTAATAATAATTTAAAATCGCAATATGTGTTAGTTAAAAATAGCATTATTGTGGTTTTAATGACTATTTATCATAATATATTGTTTTTATCCAAACTTAAGCATATAACTTTTAACATATATTTTTGTATGTTGTTTAGTAATGTAATGTTAACATGACCTATATTTTTGCGATGAGTATTTCGTTAGAAATTATCATGAACATTATCCTTAAATGGAATTTAACTATATTTAGTTGTTCTTTATCATTTTTTTAAGGCAGATTTCATTTATTTCTGTTTGGACCTTTATATCGGTTTCTATTTCTCTATTCTATTTTTGCCACAAAGCAATGAATATTTTTAGGTAAAAAATATAATATTTGGTTTTGAAATATTGTCTCTAAGTAAGTTATTAACTATGTCAATGTTTCTTATTTATGAGAGTCTATAATAATTAGTGCATACTATGTATGTACACACACTTGGACCATCGTAGAGGCTATTGAAAAATGGAGCCTGATGTCGCCAGTCACTCAAGATGCATAACTTTAGATACTGTAATATCGGTGTATTGTCGTGAGGTATAACAAGTACAGCATACTTTAACATCTTATGTTATACTTTTTCAAGATGACAGCTCTTTCGTAATGTATGTAGATTCCAAATAACCATTCTGTACTCCAAAAGGAAATAAAAGAATGAGTAAAAAAGTTTTTAAAGAGCTAGGTAGTTTGAATTCGGCTGATTTCTATTGGTTAGACCTAAGCAGATTTAAAAACCCTACAGAAAGCTTATTATATTTGCTTATTGAAACTTAAAGTCACCGATGTTTATAATAAAGTCATGCGAAATGTTCAGATTATTACCATTTACTGAGTTTCCAAACGTCATAGGGTAATTAGAAGGAGTGAAGGTCGAGGTATTCAGTGATATAATGAACCAATCCACATCGCATGTTTATTAGTCCATACATCCATAAATTAAGGAATTTTTGTAACAAGTGACTGATAGAATCAATATGAAGAAAAAGTAATCCGAAAAAGTTAAAATGTATAATTCCGCCCTTTATGTTTAATTCTATTAGTAATTTAATTTGAAAAAAACGCCTAAAGATACTACATTTCTCAGGCTCGGATCCAGCCTGTGTAAACGAGAGGGATGGATTGAAAATACAATTATCCATAAAACTATTTGTTTACGCCAATATTTGTTTTTAACAATATATTATTTTATACTAATACAAATATGTTATTTCGATAATTTGTTTGATTTTTTGTTTTAACTGTAATGCGAATACGTGTCCATTGGTATTGAACCTGTATGACCAGACTACTTTTTCCGACGGTTTGATAAATGAAACAGTAGAAACTTGAGACGGACTACCTCAGAAAACTAGATCGTCAATCACAGAACCTATTGTGAGGGTTTGTGCATCATTTGTGTCTGTTTGGCAAAGTTTTCAGACAAATGATTATTTTTTTCTCATCTCTACAGCATACTCGACGTCCATAGAGGAACCGAGCAACGTACAGTATCAATAAACAAACGTTTTGTCCAAATTCGATTAATCAACCCGTACTGACATGAATAGTTAACCAGTATAATTTTGCAATGAACAACTAACGGCACCAAAGAAAGAGCCCGGATGAGAAAGAGACACGGAGACCGAAAAACAGAATTGACATATCAAAGGGCAAAAAAAAAATAACCAAAAGTGACTCTTCTTTTCTATACTAAGTTCTGTCGTAACTTGAAATGCATTACCATCACTAAATGTTTTTTTCTCAATTGGTTTTTGCAAAAAATAAATTAATGTTTGTATATAAGCTGACTGCAGCCTACAATGTTTTATTTCTTACAGCTTTTATCGTTATCGTTTGAAAATAAC